AACAACAACAACAACAAAAACAACATCGACAATATCAACAGCAACAAGTTTATTAACATGTCTAGGTAGAATAGCCGAGGGTGAAACCCTCTACTAATTGGGAACACCTAAAAGTTAAGATTAGGAACTATTTACAACTTTTAAACATTAAAATAAGCAGGGTCTATATACAACATTTGAATTTACATGCATAACACTTAAAAATCATAAAATTTAATTATTACATAGGGTTCGACAGCTTTGCTAGCTGTCAGCCAGTAGCGATGTTAGCTCAGATTTATGTATGTGGTTTTTGAAAGTATGAGTAGAGGAAAGATTTACTAGTCCTTACTAGAGCTAATCAAAGGACTACTGTGGAGCAACTCGTTAATGCGACAGGAGTTCCCTTATTCATTGGTCCCCTTCATGGGTTCAGGTACATGGAGGTGATCTGTACAGGCCCGCAAATGATCCTGGCCCGCAAATTAAATGATCCCCGGACTGCAAATGATCTCCAAATTTGTACCGCAAATAATCCCAGGACTGGAACTGATACCACCGCAAAAAGTTAGGAATGGCGTGGACTCCATGAAAAGTCTATGGATGCTTGGTTTCTTAGGCAAATAATCACAGTTGAAGTCCCCGTTTACAATAATTTCTTTTCCCTCAGCCGCGGCAGAGTCCAGGCTGTTGTAAAAGCGAGCCAAATAATCTTCGTCAGGCTGGCTATCTGACTCTGAAGGTGGCCGATAAATCCTAGGTGAAGAAAAGAGCACCTCAGGCATAAAAGCAGCGACATAAAACGTTAGACAGACTGCGCAAAATACCAAATTGATATGTTGTGACTGTATAAATTTTTCGTTTAGGAAACGAACCAATTGACCATGAGAAGACTAAACCGCAAACAGCAGTGGTAATTAGTTGTGGTTTTGAGGTTTTCTTGCGTGTCCTGAACTTTATTCTAAATGGTCTAGTACACATTATTAACCCTTTAAGAATTGAAGTGTTCATGGTTTTCTGAGTTTCACGGTTATAAGAAAAGATCGATTATATAAATTTTTGATCCACTGTTCAAATTCCTGAGTCCATACATTTCCTCATTTTATTTTGAGGCAACCATTTCCGGTCCTGCGATCATTTGCGGTCCGGGGATCATTTGCGGACTGGGATCATTTGCAGACCTGTACAGATCTGTGTAGATCATAGAGGTTTCGAATTGTTAAATTGACAGTGAAAATAAGCCAATGAGTGCGTGAGAATTTCTGCATTTATGGTAAAATTTCTTTTCATACCTGTGATAACCCACTGTCATTTTAAGGTACATTATAAGTACCATATATGAGGTACCTGTCTATTTTCACCGAAGTCCCGCTGACTGAGAGACACAGGTGGCTCACGGGGCAAATTCGGCTGTCACGCTCTCTCCGCACTCCGCAGTCACTCCCGCAGCTACGTGCGAACTACCGTCGCAGACCATCTAACGGAGTAGGTTTAGTCTACTTTTATCCTGTAAGAGATTTTTAAGATCTGGGTTTTAAAGATAATATCTTATCTTTTGAAAGATTTTTTTTGTTTTGATCAGGAAGAATCACAGGAAAGTTTGCTGTTTGATCCGCGAAAAACAGACGTTCTGAGCTTCATATAAGCTTAAGGTTACTAAAGGTGAGCAGAATTATAATTACGCTTTGCTTTCCTTTTATTCTAGTTCTTTGTGTTGTTGATGTTTCTTAATTGAACAGATTTTCGCCTGTCAAAAATGCCTGCAGTTTACTTAAAATTAATGTACTAGCTAGTTGTTTTTATGTCACTCGGCTTCCGCTTGTGATAATCACATGATCGACTGATGCACGCAAAACTTGGTTGAGTCAAGTCCATCGATTTTACTCATATTTGCTAACTGGGAATAAATTAGTATCAAGCTATCAGCAATCAACTGAATAAATAGAACAAAACCAGCGAAAAACATCGTAAGCCAAAGTTTCGTGTGAGTTACATAATTGGGTGGCAAGCGATTGGGGGAGGGGAGGGGGTGATCCTGGTTCTGTACGGGTCCGCAAATGATCCCAGGACCGCAAACGATCCCGGACCGCAAATGATCCCCAAATTGACCGCAAATGATCCCGGACCGGAAATGATCCCCATATTGGACCGCAAATGATCCCAAATAAAAAATAAGGAATGGCATGGATTTATATCAGAAGAAGTTGAGAACATGTACAAAAATTATGAACTAAAAAACATGTTTTATCATTTTACAAACAAATATTCCACAGTTGCTGTTTTGTTCTTCGAACGGTACAGATCGTTTTCACTGTCACCCAATAAACAAAATAATAAATCGAAAACCAACCAATGGAAAAAGCTAAGAAATTCTGATGTACGCTATAGAAGATAACTAAATAAGACACTTCTCCAAGTTTTAGGCCTGTGCGTTTCCCCAAACTTCAGAAATTCGTCGTAANTGAGAACATGTACAAAAATTATGAACTAAAAAACATGTTTTATCATTTTACAAAAAAATATTCCACAGCTCCTGTTTTGTTCTTCAAACGGTTCAGATCGTTTTCACTGTCACACAATTAAAAAAGAAAAATATTAAATCGAAAACCAACCAATGGAAAAAGGTAAGAAATTGTGATGTACGCTATAGAAGATAACTGAATAAGACACTTCTCCAAGTTTTAGGCCTGTGCGTTTCCCCAAACTTCAGAAATTCGTCGTAAATGTTTCCCAGAAATTTACAGAGCCCAGTAAGAAAACGCCATGTTGGTATACATCCGTGGTACACCAATATGGCGGCCGGAATATAGTGTAAACATCTGGAACTTACTTTGCCTTTCCAGGCGACTGATTATCAATACTAAACAAACAAGCATTTGCATAAGCATTTTTGCTAATGCTATGACTTCTAAAAAGGCTCAAAATCATGAGATAAGTATATATTTTTCAACAAACTCCATCGTAGCCTTGTGTCACGCAACCGCTCTGAGCAAAGATTTATCGGTTCCCTTGATGTAGATGATATGGGCGCATGTGCTCGTGACCGCTACACAAAAAGTAGGCGCCACAAGGTCGATTGGCTGATCGATTTAAGGCTGGTTTTCACTAGCGACGGAGTCGTAGTCGGAATCGTAGTCGGAGTCATAAGAGTGCTTACGAGTGCTTAGTCGGAATCATTTGCAGTCCCTATTGGGGATCATTTCCGGTCCGGGATCATTTGCGGTCCAATTTGGGGATCATATGCCGTCCGGGATCCTTTGCGGTCCTGGGATCATTTGCGGACCCGTACAAGTCGGTAGCAGAAGTGGAAGAACAAACCAGTCACAACGCCCGGAATCGAACATTGCGATTAGTGTATTCTTCCGCTTCCGCTTGCGACTCCGACAATGCAGTTTTCACTAGCTCGTAACCGATGGATTCATAAGTGGATGCGGTGTTTTTCTTTTAACTCCGTCGGTTTGATTTTCGCTAGAGCGTATCGTTCTACGCTTCTGATTACGACTCCGACTACGACTCCGTCGCTAGTGAAAACCAGCCTTTAGGAAGACACCATTCTTGAGTAACTCCAATAGGCCAATAGCAAGTCAAATGAAATCTATGTGGAAAATCAGTTTATGGTAGCGACGTTGTAATGCAATGGAAAAAAAAAAAAAACTTTCCCCCAGCCCACGTCAGGGATCGGAAGAACTCCCTCTAATACACGGGGAGGCTTGACCCGAAAAAGGTGTAGCAAGTTTCTGAAAAAGAGATGCCTCGTGCCGACTTCAGGTATGTTAAAGGGCAACACTTTTTTTTATGGATGGTATATGAAAGAGTTATCTTGTCAGTCAAAACAACAGATAGTGAATCAAAGTTTAGACGTCGGGTGGGAGGCTGGGAGCCTCCATCTGTGAAACTTCTCTCGGATTCCTCCTGACCTCTCCTTATCCTGGACGGGTGAANGAAATTTACACCCCTAAGCGAGACGACGAGCATCCCCGTCCATTTCATATCGGAGTCCCCCCCCCCCGGGCACGCTCCGCTAATCTGCCTGTTCGGGCGCCCGCTCATTCTCGTCCCCAGAGCCTCCGTTTCTTTTGGTCACGTGGTCGGAGAAACGACATTTTAAGACGAGTAGCACTGGGGACGAGAATGGAGCCAGCTCGGCCCGCCAAAACGAGAGATCATGCGCAGTCATTGCAGTGTTGTTCGTTCTTTTCCCGGTTTGCATCATTTTACGCTGTTTCTCGTTTTCTCCGCTTATTTGAGTCCAGGTAAGCAGTTGAACTAGTAATTCTAAACCTTCTCGCAGCAATGCTTCAATCGATTTAGAAATCTGCATCACCTTACAGCTGCATGTCAAATCGCTCTTGTGCTCGCAGGTTTCTCATATTTCGTCAGCAAGCTGATATCGAACTGTTTGTTTCAGCGCAGTTGTGGCTTTTATCGATACATTCTTAGCATGTTCCTGTCCTGTAGTAACATGAAATAATGCGCCGTTGAATGCGATCAATGGAGGTTTGGGCAACATAACAGAACGCTTGATTACTCCGCTCTCTCGGGTCTGGACTTCAGGATTAAGGACAGAGAATTAGTTTTACATTGCATGAAGGAGCACCTTCCAGCTTCCCCCAAAGTGTACTCAGAAAACTTAACAGTATCAGGGATGCTGACAGTGCTTTCTATAGTTGTATGCCCTGAATTAGCTTTGTTATTTGTTAAAATCAATCTTTCTAAGTAACAGCTGGCCAGTTAGGGTCCCTTCATATGAGTCTGGTCAACTGCGCTGGCTTGGTCTCCAAGATCTTGTCTCACCACCCTTGTCTTTGTAAAAATGTCAATGTGTTCATATGAGAAGCTTGGCTGGTCTTGTTACTGAGATCTCAGTTTTTGTAACCAAGATCTTGGTTACATGGATGTTAAACTCATCAACAATGAATGAGCTTGGGGAATGGTGCCTGAGAGGAAACTAAACCGAGTGTGTAGGGTATCCATGACAACCCTGTGAGCAGCAACCATCGAGACACTGTCACACTGTGGAAACAGTGGAAAAACAGGATACTCACCACATACTTACCATGAAGCCAAAGGGGGATGGGTGGGCTGGGAGAAAAGCTCGATGAGATCTGTCCAGCAGCGAAAAACACGCAGAATGACTTGACATTTGAAACCGAGCTGTAAAATCTAGGCACCCTGCACAAATCCCTTGGCCACCCCATAGCCACATAAAATTTTCCCATATGAAAACTCCAGCCGGGGTGACTAGGTTGAAACTTTATTGACAAAATAACTCACTTTCACAACACAACAGCTAAAATGGCATAATTTCTTTCTTGTATGCATTTCCACTTAAGAAGTGAGCAAATTACCTTTGTCAGTAAAGTCATGAGAGTCCCAGGAGAAAGCTACCACAGTTGCTAACAATACAAGTTTATGTTCCACTATTTTGGTTTTATTTGTTGAATTTCATCCCATTCCACTGGGCTTAAATTTCCCATATGAAACAGACCACAAAATTTGTCGTGGTAACCAAACCAGCATGGTTACTGGGCTCATATGAAGACATCCTTATCAGGTTTAAGTTCCAACCTGCGTGAACTGGAAAACGGTAGGGAGGCAAAGAACCCGAGGAAGGAGGGGAAAGAAGCTTCTCCTGTCCCCCAAGCCCCCTCCTTGTATCCCTAGTCTGACTCTCCCTCTGCCTCTCCCACAGTTTGAAAGGTCTATTCTACTCTGGCGGTTTTCACCAATTTTGACTGAGTGCTGGATTGCGGGTACATTCACATCTGGTGGTTTACACTTCAGAAAATATTGCGCAGTTGCAGGAAGTCATAAAGTTAGCTTGTGGTATGTAAATGAAATGACTAGGTGTTGCTAGTAAGCCAAAAAATAAAGTTCTTTGCAGGCCTCTTATAAAACGTAAAAAAAACTGTTACTTTTTTGGTTCTGAAAATGCTTCTCACTGGTGCTACAAATCATTCTCTGCCTATTTCAAATTTTCGGGCAAGCGCTGTTATCAGATTGGACATACTTAAGTGGGTTCAATACGTATGATTAAGTTGTAACATTCTGATTTGGTTCATTAAGTTACATACACCCTGCCTTTGAACAAGAAACAACTGTTTGGGTCTCAAGAATAATCAATGAATGCAATTCAAACAGTCTATTAGTCTCATTCTGGTAGAATTTTAAGTAAATTTGTGTAGATGTGGATTGTAATATTGCTACTGGTAAAAGCATGTTATTTGGTTTGCCCTTAAAATATTAAATTAATGACCTGGAACAATCATATCAGTCTCACTGTCCGTGACTTTGCCACTGCTCTATCTTGAATATAAGGGACAGAGAATTTGACTGGGTCTACTGGCCTCACCTGATTGAAACATCCTCAAAGTTATGAACAAACCTTTGGGACTCTTGAAAATAAAGCCTGAAAAGTATTCACTCAGGGTTCAATTGGATTTGAACCCATGGCTTGTTTTAGGCTGAATTTCAAATGACTTCTAGCTTGGAGAGGTAATGAAAAGGTATTGGAAACTTGTAAAACTTTAAGATTGTTTCACATTAACTTTTTTTATCTTGAAAAATCATATTTATCTTGAGTAGCCGGCACATTCAGAACTAGTAGGTGATGATTTTCGCTGGTGGCTGGTGCTCACAGAGAACACTGCCTTAAAAGGGATTATTTTATTCAACATATTTTCCCAGTGCCTCTGGATTTCACTGTATCTGCAATTGCTTACAAGCAGAAGTAATGCTTTATTTTGATTATGGACTTTGGCTTTCTAAGGAGGGAAAATACTCACATGGTGAACACTTTAAGGTAAAATAACCACCCTAGCGTGTTTTTAAGCAGATGTTTCGAGTGTTAGCCCTCCATTCGTCAGTTCAAATAGGAGGATCGTATTGTACTGCACTGCACTGCACTGCACTTACATACNGCTGTGCTGTGCTGTGCTGTGCTGTGCTGTGCTGTGCTGTGCTGTGCTGTGCTGTGCTGTGCTGTGCTTTACTACACTGCACTGCACTGTACTCTGCTCTCCCATACTTAGTGCCTTTTCTCCATGCTTCTGGCTGCATGCAAATTGGAGCGAGAGCAAAAAAATCAAAGAACTTAGGAGCGGTGGGGTGAGCACTTGCCCCACCACCCCTTGCTTCATCAATTTTTCTGCCCTCTCTCACTAAAATTTGTGTGGGGCCATAATAAAGAAATACCGAAAAAGCTGTTCATACAGTAACAATATCTCTGTTCCGAATCCCAGGTAAATCACATAGTGATTACCGGTACTCAGTTTAAGGGAAAGGAACTTAAATGGATTTAAAAAGCTATTTACTGATGGACTAGAATAAAATACAAATTGAATTTATTTGCACAGTTTGTTTATAAACAACATTCCAGCATGTGTGTGACTGATTACCACACACTTGTTGCCTGATAGGTCAAATCATGTCTTGTGAGAAGTTCAAGTTTCAGCAAACGTTAAGACGTAGATAAACCCTGGTGAAGTATGGTTCCACTAATATTTCCATTGCTTTTCTTTTTAATTATTATTTTTCATTGTCAAAAAAATTCACTATATTGATTTAATTTCACAATTAGGATAAAAAATATTGAAAATGTTGAAAGGAGACCACAAAATTTTACACTTTAAAAACTACTGTTTGCATCATTTTTTTACTTTCCAACCATAACAGCAAAATGGTTTACAGCAAAAGTGCTGTCCACTTGTCCAT